CTTCCAGGAACTGGCAGTAGGACTGGGAGTTGAGCTTGACTCCATCCTCAACCCGAAAAGGCCCCACAAGCTCATCTTTGATGATACCAGCCCAAACCAGTACTCCACCTCCACCTTGCTGGCGTCTGAGTCGGACTGGAGCTCTCTGCCCTTTACCAATCCAGCCACGGGCCCATCCATCTGGCCCATCAAGACTCACTCTCATTTCATCAGTCCATAAAACCTTAGAAAAATCAGTCTTGAGATATTTCTTGGCCCAGTCTTGACGTTTCAGCTTGTGTGTCTTGTTCAGTGGTGGTCGTCTTTCAGCCTTTCTTACCTTGGCCATGTCTCTGAGTATTGCACACCTTGTGCTTTTGGGCACTCCAGTGATGTTGCAGCTCTGAAATATGGCCAAACTGGTGGCAAGTGGCATCGTGGCAGCTGCACGCTTGACTTTTCTCAGTTCATGGGCAGTTATTTTGCGCCTTGGTTTTTCCACACGCTTCTTGCGACCCTGTTGACTATTTTGAATGAAACTCTTGATTGTTCGATGATCACGCTTCAGAAGCTTTGCAATTTTAAGAGTGCTGCATCCCTCTGCAAGATATCTCACTATTTTTGACTTTTCTGAGCCTGTCAAGTCCTTCTTTTGACCCATTTTGCCAAAGGAAAGGAAGTTGCCTAATAATTATGCACACCTGATATAGGGTGTTGATGTCATTAGACCACACCCCTTCTCATTACAGAGATGCACATCACCTAATATGCTTAATTGGTAGTAGGCTTTCGAGCCTATACAGCTTGGAGTAAGACAACATGCATAAAGAGGATGATGTGGTCAAAATACTCATTTGCCTAATAATTCTGCACTCCCTGTATTTCATTTTCTTGATTAGGTATTGCTGATCAGATGTAATTTATTTTACAATATTTATTTTACAATATTTGCACATATCAATTCTTTACTTTCATAAATTATCACTACATTGTCTATCCCACATAATCCATTTTTTAGTTAGACCTTATTGATCAAATATAGTTCATTTCCCAATATTTACTGCACACTGTTCTTTCCCAATTCTATGATACTAATTGCATTTATTCCATAATTCACGAAATCTGTTATATTTCATTACTCCTCATTTCTTTTCTCCTCTAACCGAAGCACCTATCTTTGTTTATAGTTTTAGTAAGAACTTTTTAAGATTATTCAATATAGCCTACCTCCTTTCTCCTATTGAGTTGTTTTATAAGAAATGACACAACTCGAAATCAGAGTTGAGGCCGTTTGGAATCAACGTATTTATCCTATAAATCCACTCCACCTCTATTTTACCAAGTACTTTGATGAAATCCCCTCCTCTCCAATTTTTCTCTAGTTTTCTTATTCCCATAAATGTTAGGCCTTCAGGTTTCTGACCATGAATTAATTTAAAGTGATTGGAGACACTGCGTTGTTCAAAGCCCTTTTGGATCTTATAAATGTGTTCTCTTATTCTTATATGTAACGGTCTTGTAGTTCGACCCACATATTTTAATCCACATGGGCAAATTAGCAAGTAAATTAAATTTTTTGAGTAGCAAGTTATAAATTGTTTAATTGGTGTCTTTATCTTTTCATTAATGGCTATATCTTTAATAATTCTTCTATTACATCCTGATCTTTTACAAGACATACACATCCCACAACCGTAAAAACCTTTTTCATTCTTACATATAGTGGCTGTTTCTTTCTTCTCTTTAAGTGAACTTCGAACCAAAGAATTTCTAAGATTTTTTGCCCCTCTATATATGACTCTAGGTTTTGGCGGAAGGATCATTTTCAAGGAGGGATCTTGTAATAAAATCGGCCAATATTTATTTAATATCCTACGTACTTGTTGGTTATTAGTGTTAAAATTACATATGAAAGGAATGTCTCGAGTATTATCGGTATTTTTAGTCTTACATATTAGTAGATTTTCCCTTACTTTATGTTTTATCTCTAATCTCGAATCTTCCAATTTACATGTATTATATCCTTTTTCAATAAAATCGTTTTTAATTTTTAGTGACTGGTCTTCATATTTGACAAGATCACTACAATTCCGACGTATTCTTAAAAATTGCCCTTTTGGGGCATTTTCTAACCATGGGGAATAGTGACAGCTTGCATGTTCAATGAAGCTATTGCAATCTACTAATTTAAATGATTTTTAGTTTTAACTTTTCCTTCTTCTATATAGATATCTAAATCTAAGAAGGAGACCTCTTCCTTACTCCAGGTGCTGGTTAATTTAATGCCCCAAGTATTATCATTTAGAAAGTTTAAAAAAGAGATTAGATCTCCCTCCTCACCCTTCCATATAAATAAAATATTGTCAATATAACGGCCATAGAAGACCAAGTTCTCCTCCCAGCCATGAAAACAAAAGAGTTCTCCCAGAATGACATGAGCATAGCTGGGGGCGAACTTGGTCCCCATGGCCGTTCCATTTATTTGCATAAAAAAAGTCATTATTGTACCAGAAGAAATTTTTTCTCAAAATGAGATTCATTCCTTCTAGGATGTATTCAATTTGTTGGGGGCAAAAGTCTTTTGATTGAGTTAAAAAAATATTCTGTTGCCTCACACCCATAGGAATGTGGGATGTTACTATAAAGTGCAGCCACGTCACAAGTGACTAAAAAACAGTTTGAATCCCAAACTACCTTTTCAAGATGGTTTAAAATCTTTATAGTGTCTTTAATATGGAATTGAGTTTTCATCACCAATGGTTGAAGTAGGACGTCAATATATTGGGAAAGTCTGCTTGATATTGAATCTATACCCGCTATAATGGGCCTACCTGGGGGTTGTTTGGTATCCTTATGTACCTTTGGCAAAAAATAAAATACAGGTATCTTAGGATATTTAATATTCAAAAATTTGAATTCTTTAGGAGTTAAATATTGTTGTTCATTCCTTTCTCAAAGAAAGTGAAGAATAATTTATTTATTTATTTATTTCTTCACTTGGATTTTTCTTTAATTGTTGATATGTATTAGTATCTTTCAAAATTCTTTCCGCCTCCTTATTGTAGAATTGTTTTGACATTAAAACTATACCTCCCCCCTTATCTGCAGGTTTTATGATCAAATCTTGATCAGTTTGTAAATTTCTTAATGCTTTTTTCTCCATTTGAGTTAAATTACTATTAAATCTATTTTTAGGTGCAATTTTATTGATCTCAGTCATCACCATTTGATTCGAGATCATTTGTTTTGGATAAAAGGAAGATTTATTTTTTAAGTAAAGTATGTTTGAATAACGATGTATTATCTGGAGGGGTATTTAAACCAAATAAATTTTTACTTATTGGATCTTTAAGGAAAAAATTTTTTAAACATAGATTACGTTTAAAACGATTAAGGTCAATATACATATCAAAATGATTTAAACTCGTACTAGGGGCAAATTTTAATCCTTTATTTAATACTGTAATTTGATGGCAATCTAATTTCTTATCACTTAAGTTAAAGATGCCTTTCATTAATTCCTTAGGTTCAGATCTCTTCTTTTTGACCTGTATGGTACTGGCTCTTGATCTATCTTGTGTCTGTCTCTGGTCTTGCTTTGCCAAAAAACCTCCCCTTCCCGCTGGTCAATAAGGGCTTCATATCTATTAGATATAGGGATTTGTTCCCCCCCCAGGGTTGGAATTTCTATAGGACCTTTGTTTATCTTCTCGTGTTTGTAAATCTCTCTTATTTCTCTGAAATGTTTCCTCCTTTCGCGTGTGTGACGGAACGCTGGCACTCCGACTGAGTACCTCTGCCAATCGATGCTCCTAGTGCTCGCTGAGGACTCCAAGCACTCCAACCGACACCATCAGCACTGCAGACCCCACTTCCAGCGATGCAACTGCGCCGGGGTCTCTGCAGTTTCCACCCACCCTGGACCCAAGGCCAGGATCCAGCTTCCAGTGGGTGAACCTCTCTTTCCCCAGAGAGCAGGAACAGGAACAAATCAAGCTATTGCAAGAGCTTCCTCGGGGGAGTAAGTGATTATAGCAATCCCCAGAGTGTAGGTATCCCTTCCCCCAAACATGAACCAAGGCTTAATGCTGGAACAAGACTGATTTACTGGCACACAGAACTCACAATTTATGCAACACAAAACTCCTCCTCTGGGCCAGGCTAGATAATTGAGTTTCTACAATACACAAAGCTCAATTATCTGCTGGCCAGAAATAATACAGTTTCATAAAACACACAGGGACCCCAAAACATGCAATAACCCCATAAAAGTATATCCTTGGAACCGGGGGATCTGGGTGAACCACATATCCAAAATTCACCCAGATCCGTTCAGTACTTTGGAAAATACAGTTTAATGCAGATTCTGCAGAACATATACAGGCTAAATGAAAAACAATCACTGTATAATGTGTCCCCTGCTGTATAGTCCAAAACCACTGCACGATGTCTCTGTGCACCAAATACTGGCGAGATGGCACCGTGTTGAAAAGTCCAAACAGTGTCTGTGAGTTAAAATGGCCGCCATCCATTGTTCTCACCATGTGCTTCTGATACAGGAAATGGTGGCCACCCAGTAACTCCACAGTATGTCCCCAGATGGTTCTTAAAGGGCCAGCAGCAGCACAACACAAATCCATTATGCCCAAATCATGTCTTTAAAGGGCAATACATCCCAGGGGCCATAGTCACAGGGCAAGAGGCGGGCAAGCAGTCCTCTCCAGGCACAAGTGGCGAAGGGCACTTCGTCACACATCTTCCCTTTGGGGGGAAGACTAAACAGGTACCTGACCTTCTGCCGGTCAGTACCTAGATTAGTCGGGCAGCCCACCCACAAAGAAAAATACGCAGAGTAACCCCCCCACAATAAATGGTACTGGCCTGTAGGTTCAAGTTTGTAGTGGGACAGCGCAGCACTCTCGGTCTCCCTGGTGCAGCTAGGCAAACTGCTGGTGTTGCTTGGGGGGCAGAGGCCAGCGGCGCTCTGCCCTGCTGCCAGCTCTTCCACTGGGGTAACCCGTGGTAAGTCAGGCTCTGATACAGGGGAAATGGAGGGGCAGAGGCTAACAGAGCTCTGCCCAGATGCCAGCTCTTCTGCTGGGAGGGGGTCAGTGGGTATCGCAGGCTCATCCACTGCCCCCAGGACCCGGTTGGGATGTAGCTGGTTTCACTTACCTCCTCCTCCTGGCATCCCTGCAGAGCTGGTTGGGGATCTGGACCGCCCGTCCAGCCTCCCTGTAGGACTGGCACAGAGACCGCGGTCCCATCTGCGCCAGTGTGGGTAGGTTTGTCTTCCCCCTCTCCCGGTATCTCTGGCTGCTGTTGGAGGGGGAGGCCGGTTGCCCCCACTCCCCAGCACGCTGGTTGCTGTAAGGTGGAGGGATCGACCATCACCTCCTCCTGGAACTCAGGCCGCCGCTGGGGAGAGAGACCGGTTGTCTCTTCCCTCTGTACGGTGCACTGCCGCTGGGAAGGGAGGTCGCTGCTCTCCTCTCCCTGTAACTCACTCTGTCGCTGGAGACGGGGTGTCAATACCCCCAAACTCCACAGTTGGTACTCGTAGTTCCGTGCGTCTTGGTTCTCAGCACTCAACAGGCGCATCACTTGATGGACCACCTCATCTGAAGGGTTTGGGCCAAACCAGACCAGCCGCGCCTTTACTTCCTTCATGAAATCAGCACCCTCATAGCACTGTGACAGGCGGATTTGCAATTCACTGGCTGCTGTCCAGGGTCTTGCTAGCTCCATGTTGCTGTAGGTAGGGACGCTGCGCAGAGGCTAGCGTTGCCCTCAATTATAAATCCGTAACTCCACACGTTACCGGTGTCTCTGAGCTGCTGGTCCTCGCACTAGGACGCCATCCCACCGCTGCCACCAAATGTGACGGAACGCTGGCACTCCGACTGAGTACCTCCACCAATCGATGCTCCTAGTGCTCGCTGAGGACTCCCAGCACTCCAACCGACACCATCAGCACTGCAGACCCCACTTCCAGCGATGCAACTGCGCCGGGGTCTCTGCTGTTTCCACCCACCCTGGACCCAAGGCCAGGATCCAGCTTCCAGTGGGTGAACCTCTCTTTTCCCAGAGAGCAGGAACAGGAACAAATCAAGCTATTGCAAGAGCTTCCTCTGGGGAGTAAGTGATTATAGCAATCCCCAGAGTGTAGGTATCCCTTCCCCCAAACATGAGCCAAGGCTTAATGCTGGAACAAGACTGATTTACTGGCACACAGAACTCACAATTTATGCAACACAAAACTCCTCCTCTGGGCCAGGCTAGATAATTGAGTTTCTACAATACACAAAGCTCAATTATCTGCTGGCCAGAAATTATACAGTTTCATAAAACACAAAAACATGCAATAACCCCATAAAAAGTATATCCTTGGAACCAGGGGATCTAGGTGAACCACATATCCAAAATTCACCCAGATCCGTTCAGTACTTTGGAAAATACAGTTTAATGCAGATTCTGCAGAACATATACAGGCTAAATGAAAAACAATCACTGTATAATGTGTCCCCTGCTGTATAGTCCAAAACCACTGCACGATGTCTCTGTGCACCAAATACTGGCGAGATGGCACCGTGTTGAAAAGTCCAAACAGTGTCTGTGAGTTAAAATGGCCGCCATCCATTGTTCTCACCATGTGCTTCTGATACAGGAAATGGTGGCCACCCAGTAACTCCACAGTATGTCCCCACATGGTTCTTAAAGGGCCAGCAGCAGCACAACACAAATCCATTATGCCCAAATCATGTCTTTAACGGACAATACATCCCAGGGGCCATAGTCACAGGGCAAGAGGCGGGCAAGCAGTCCTCTCCAGGCACAAGTGGCGAAGGGCACTTCGTCACAGCGTGTAATACATTCTATCTTGATCTTTTTTATGTCAATCTTGCCGTGATCTGAACTTTTCTCTATTTTCTTTTGAATAGTCTCTATAACGGTATTGGAAGCTTGGATTAAAATTATTTCTTTCTCCATATAGAGATTTATTCTGATCACGTCTGTAATTCCAGTTGGAGCTATTGGATCCAAATTCCCTAGGGGTAAATCTCCTATCTCTTATTTGAGTTCTATTTGATTGCTCATACTTAGAAAAGGATCTCACCTGTTCTAATTCGTAATCTCTCGTATCCCTCAGATACTTTTTTTTCTTTATTCCTATAACCTCTCTTTCCAATTTTTCAATTTTTTTTTCAATATGGGACGTAATGTCCTCAAATTGTTCTTCATTAGAGGAATTTAACAGGGAGTCTTGACATCTATTTATTTCCTTATCTATTTCTTTAAGATTTTCCTTTCTCCTTTTGATAATCAAATTCATACTGGTGATGGAAAAAATTTCTAGCATATGGTTCCATTCTTCCATAAAACTGTCCACATCTCTATCGAAAGTGGGCATTTAAAAATATCTAAGTCCCCTTGGTGTTATTTTCTCTCCAATACATTTTTCCAGGGTTGCTATTTCCCATTTAATTTTTAATTCTCTCTCTAATAGTTTTGTTTTATAGAATAAATAAATTATTTATTTTTTGCTCTGCATCTACCTGGTTCGGCACTTTTACTATTCCTAATGGGAGTGCAGCCCCTAGTCTGCACAATGCCTGAAAAGAGAGTCATACAAACTCCATGTTTGTAAGTACCCACTTTTGGGATTCTATTACAATAGATACATTTATTTAAGCAATATTGCGTTATCTTCTTTGTATATCTATTCCCCTTTAGAACCGACTACTATTTCCTATTGAGGGGTGGGTTGCCTAAACGGACCCAGAAGCGAATCAAACTAGAGCTGAGTTTACAGCTCTAGGTCTGTAAGTGTGCCATTTTTCACAATTTATATATCCTTAAATCTGCTACGGTCTATACTATGTTGCAATAACTATTTTTTAGATATATTGCCTACTTGGAATACTAGTGAAAAAGATTCCCCTTCAGCAACATAAAAGATCTATTTGCAATCTGGGATACTAGTGAAAAATCTCTTTTCTCAAGCAATATAAAAGGACCGACTACTATTTCCTACTGAGGGGTGGGTCGCCTAAATGGACCCAGAAGTGAATCAAACTAGAGCTGAGTTTACAGCTCTGGGTCTGTACGTGTGCCACTTCTATAATTTATATATTTTCAAATCTGTTACGGTCTATACTATGTTGCAATAATTATTTTTTAGATACATTGTCAACTTGGAATACTAGCAAAAAAGATTCCCCTTCAGCAATATAAAAGATCTATTTGCAATCTGGGATACTAGCGAAAAATCTCTTTCTCAAGCAATATAAAAAGGTGACACTAAATTTTAAAGCGCTACATTCTTTATTTTCCAACACCTGAAATGTGTCTCTTATTCATGGAATTAGACAGGTTCTTCAGGCCAGAAGCAAGAGGCACATGTGACAGACCCATCTGTATGACTATCTGTGGATTTGTCTAGTTTGCCTTCCTTTTGTGGAAATTGCCTGTTTCTATAGCCCATGTGTATGATTGACTTTTTACCGAACAAATCTACCGAACGGACGGCCACCCAGAATAGAAGTGTGCTGCTGGTTAACCTCTTGATCCCAATTAGAACGTTGTGGTTAACCGCAGACACTTCTTAATTATAACCGAATACAGGGTGGTCGTCGTTCGCATGTCGACCACGAGGCAGCGGCCATTTTAAATCACACGAAAGACCAGCGGTGTTCGGCATTGATTCCATGGAACTAAAAACAGACACTTTTTCTGCCGAACACCGCTGAAACAGGTCACCCTTCTCCGTCGACGAAAGCATGCAAACACCGGCCGTTCGGGAGTTTTGGATTACATGAAGAGACTTAACCCAGATAGCCTTCCCATGCAGTCAATCGCATACCGAAAGACTGTAAGAACTTTGACTCCATGGCGATTGAACTATATGTATGGGACTGGAGCGCTATTCGCTAATAATATGCCCTCAGATCCAGGCTATCTGGGGATATGTTATAAGAATGTAAAATGTTCGGTAGTTGTGTAATTATTTATTTTTATGTGTTTTCTGGTGTTTTACTTAAAATGTCGATTTGTCTTTGTCCTGGAGATAATTGAATTACTTCTCAATTATCTCCAGGGCAGAGGGGAGGAAACCATACTGCATTGGGGGAAAAGTTTGTGCCTGTATGTCTGAAATGGCCATATGTCTATCTGTCATCACAGTCCCCCATTTGGTCCCCTAGGGGAGTGTCTACCAAGTGGGAGACCTGCATAAATACGGGCGGGTAGCCCACAGTAAAGCCAGATCTTGTTTTACCTTCAATGCGGAGCTTGGTCTCGTTATTGGGGGGGGATTTATTACCGACGTCTAGAGACTGATTGCTGGAGCCGAAAGCCGCTTGGTGGATAAACTTGTTCGGCGGCTAGCGATGATTCATGGATTTATGTTCGGGAGTTTGGAGCCCTCTTATGGATCCCGGTCAGGAGATTGCCGCTTCCCCTGATGGTGGTTTGTACACAGCAGTATATGCGAACGGAGATAGTAAGATTGCGAAGGGGGAAGCTTAACTAAACGGCGGTTTCACTCATAGGCACCAGGGGAGTCTTAACGGCACATTTTTCACATTTTGTTAGCAGCCAACCTCCACATAGCCAGGGTTTGGAAGTAGACCAGGATCCAACTCTTGGCAGACTTGGAATCTCAGATATCAATTAACGTAGATTATGAACACATGGCACACACACAGCTCCACCCTATGACACACATACTAGAGGCCAGAATGAGGTGGAGCCACTTATACTTCCAGTAATTAAAATACAAAAGAGCAAGTGCAAGAGAAGAAGAATTGAGAAAAGCACTCACAAGGGATAGAGATCACTAAGTATAGAGAGCTATATTGCACTGGCTAGCCAACCCAGACAGCGGGATCGCATTGCTCGCAACGAACCCCCAATGTAAATAGTTCAGCTACGTTCTTTCATACCATCATTTCATTTTGTTTTGTTTCCATCCCTACTACTTCTAACATAGGACACCAATAACACAAAATAGCTTAGGGAACCAAAAACTAGAGACAAAATACACAGAAAGGGAGGAAAGAGGGGATGGGGGGAGCAGTACGATTCATTTGGTAATCAAACTACGTAGCAAAAAAAAAAAAAAGATAGGAGGGGCGAAACCACAGCCCGACACAAAGAGCGTTGCATGAGGCAAAACTCAAAGGTGACACCCAGGCATTATATTTGAAGATACGGAATACTCAGGATGAATATCGTGATTGAAATGCC